CTAGCACTGGGCTCAGGGCCCACCACAGGACTGGGCTATTCATTCATTCATTCATTCAACAGGTGTGGATTAAGCACCTCTATGTGACAGACACTTGTTTGAACCCTGGTGGAACTGCACTGAACAAGCAGACAAGGCTCCTAGTTTCACTGGAGCTTGCAGTTTGGATGGGGGAGTCAGACAACATAGAAACAAGAAAATTGCAAAGAGAGGCATATGCGATGGAGGAGATAAAATGAAGAGGGGATGGAGTGGCTGGGCGTGAAGGCAGTTAGATCAGGGACCACTGAGGAAGCGACGTTTGAGCAGAGACCTGGGTGCTCAGGGAGAGCTTGCTGACAGCCATGAAGGCAGGCAGAACACACCAGGCTTATCCAGACTTCATCTGGCAAAGCACTGATTGGTCACCTACTATATGCTGGGTCCAGTGGTCAACAGGCAGACATGCTCCTTGCATTGAGAGCTTACAGCCTATTGGGAGAGAAAAGCACATACGGAAATATGCAAATAGAGACTCATACATTGTGACGTGCAGGGACCAGGAGAGAGAAAAGGGGGTGCGAGACTTATTTTGGATGGTTGGGTGTGACAAAAGTCTTCCGCTGCTCTTAGAGAACATGATAATCTTACCTTTCCAGGTGCATACAAGAGTTTCATGCTTTGAAAAAAATAAAAACAAAACAAATGTCTTATTTTACAACAATTTCAGATTTACAGAATCATCGCCAAGACAGCACGGAGTTCCCAGACTACCCCGCGTCCAGTTCCCTTATTATCAGCATCTCACGCTGTGCGGAGCCCCTGCCGCAATTCCTGACCTGCTATTGATAGAATTCTAGTAACTAAAGCCTGCATTTCTGATTTCCTCCCTCTTTCCCTCATGTCCTTTTTCTGTCTGAGGTCCCGCCCGGGACACCACCTTATACTTAGTTTTACGTCCCCTTAGGCTCCTCCTGCTTGTGACAGTTTCTCAGGCTTGCCTTGTTTTTGATGGCAGCTTAGAGAAGTACTGGTCAAGTATTCTGTGAAATTTCCCTAGACTGGCATTTGTCTGATGTGTTCTGATGACTAGACTGGGGTTAAGGGTCCCGAGGAGGAAGGGCACAGAGATAAAGTGCCGCTGTCCTCACATCATGTCTGGGCTACGCGCTCCTCACTCAGCTGGTCACTCTTGGTGTTGACCTTGGTCCCCTGGACGAGGTGTGCCTGTGAGGTTTCTCCACTGTAAAGTTTGGGTTTTTTTCTTTACTCCCTTTCTATATTGTCCTCTTTGAGAGGAAGTGGAGAGTTACATTTCGTCTCCCCAAAGGCAGTCTATTCACATAAATTACTTGGAATTCTACACAGGAGATTTGCCTAGTCTCCGATTTTTATGCATTTTTACCAACATTTTTATGCTGGGTCTTTTTAGGGTTCAGAAATTCAAGAACCCTATTGGTATTCCTAGGAACCTACAAATATTTTATTTCAACTACTAAAATGCAGTAAATTACCAAAGCATTAAATTGGAGGGTAAGAAAAAAGCCAATAGTTATTTTTTATCTTTTTCTATTGTCAATACACTTTAATGAGAGACTTGGGAAACACCAAAACAGAAGCGCCCCTCTAGTCGCCCTACCCTCAGCTGACCGTTATTCACATTCGGTTTATTATTTTTAATGTTTCCTCTGTGGACAATTTTTACACTAGCTATGTAATTTTGTTTCTTGCCTCTTCCAACCTTTTTTTCTCCTTTGCTTATCATCATATCAAAAACATATCTCCTATGTTGCAATACAGACTTCATAACCATATTTTTTTCACTAGCTGCTAAATATTCCCTCACGTGGCTCACGGTGTCCTCCCCGCAAATTTAGCTCAAAGCCGTGCATCTAGTCAGTGTTTAGAAATAATTTGTTAAATGAATGAATATATGACAAAGTAATCACTCTCCTGTTTTTAGAGATGTAGGTTATTTCAGTTTTCTTGATTTTAAATAGCACTGAGACAAATAGATTGTTCCCCTAGGACAGCGTCCCAGAGTGGAATTGTGGAGCCAATGAAGGCCAAAACTTTTCAAGGGAAATGCACCAAACCCGAAATCCCCCTCCCTCTCCCCTCTGAACCGCTGGCAATTGTGCTGAAGGTAATAATTTACAATTGATTAAAGAGTTTGTGGGGTGTTTTTTTCCCATCATTTTTCTCTCTCCTCTCCCCCTCCCCTCCTGCCCAAAAGGGGAGAAATTATCTGAGAAGGTGAAGACGTTCTCAGACAATCATATTAACATATTCCAACAATCGCAATTTGCAAAACAGTAATCACAACTCCCGGGATCTGGGAGGCATTAATCAAAGCGGCAGGTTTAATTCCATTTTAAATATTGATGAAATGTGCTTGGGATGCCTCACCCTGGCGTGGCAGGGCCAGGAGCCTCGGCGGGCCAGGGGAGGGGAGCGGGGTCTGGTGAGCAGCTGCCGGGAGGGTAGGCATCTGCGATTCAAATTGGTGGCTGTGCAGCCAGGTAGAGAGTGAAAGGGGTAGTGAAGAGGGCTGTTAAGTCCATTGCTGTCAATTTGTAACGATCAGGGAGGGGCCAAGGACTGGTTCAGCACAATGAACCCAGTTTGTCTGGTTTCAGGGGTTACCACTGAAGAGGTTGCAGCTGCACTGATTCGAATAGCCTGGAGACTTCAGAACTGTAATTACCAACCAGGCTGCGCCGTGTGGTGGCAAAAGTGGGCTTCACCAGCGCTTAACTCCTTGTGTGCCGCCACTCTGCCCCTCCCCCACACCGCCACCCCCCTTCCCGGGCTGGCAGCCGCACGCTGATTCCCAGGCAGCCTCCCCAGGGGAAACTGAGACCCACTAGCTGCCAGGCAGCCAGCCTTTTTCCTTAGGTCACAGATGAAGAAAGAGTGAGGGTGAGGGCCGCCTCGCCCTGCGGCACGGTCCCTTCTGCCCTGGGCTGGGGAGTCAGGCTTTGGAGTCTCATGAGCCTTGGTTTGAATTCCAGCGGGTGCAGATGTGGGACAAGGCTCATCCCCTCTATAAAACGGGGGTAATCCCCCCCACCCTATTGGTCTATCGCAGATTGAATGGGATGTGGAGTTTGGAAAGCACGGAGCACACAGTAGGTGACAGGATGCCTCCATCGCCCTGATCCTGGGCTTGGTGCTTCGATGGAAGAGGAGGGTGGGCGGCAGGATCTGGCGCAGAGGGCAGGATTTCTGCTGGCCCTCCATGTTACAGCTCTCAGCGAGTCCCCTCGTTCTCCAGCGGCCGCCCTGTGTCACCCAAGGAGGGTGGGTGGGTGGTCCTCTCCTCCTATCTCTTAGGCAGGAGGCAAGAGCTCCACCAGGCAGGAGCCCTGACAACTGCTTGAGGGCAGGGCTAGACCTCTTTGTCCCCAGGGCAAGGCACAGGCGGAAAGCAGGAACGAGGGAGGGACGGCCTGCAGACAGCTCGGTGCTGCCAAAAACCACGGGCCTAGGTGGGAGTCTGGAGGATGAAGCATGTGCACGGTTCGATGACCTTTCTCATATTCTCCCACGTATCCATGAAGGGATGTGCCCAAGCACATTTGTCCCAGCATTATTCCTGGTAACGGAAGTTGAGGCCAACTTGCATCCATCACAAGAAAGACGGAGAGCAAAATGCGATGGACTATTAGGCAGCAGTAGGAAAGAAAAAAAAACAAGCAATGCAATGGAAGAATTAGCAAAGACCACCACGAGCAAAGATCTGTCATTAGAGATCAAGGCCAAGATCACCCACGCCCTCGCATTCCCATTGCTAGGTACAAATGCCAAAGTTGGACAGTGAAGAAGGCTGCTAGGGAAATAATTGATGCATTTGAAATACAGTGCTGGAGGAGAGCGCTCCGGATATCCTGGGCCACCAGAAAGATGAACAGTGGGTCCTAGAGCAAATTAAGCCTGGAACATCACTGGAGACAAACACGACAAAACTGACGCTGTCCTACGTCGGGCACATCATGGGAAGGCAGGGTTCTTTGGAAAAGACAATACTGCTGAGAAAAACAGGAGGCAGCAGGAAAAGAGGAAGGCCAAATACGAGATGGATGGACTCCATAGAAGAAGCCCCAGGCAGGAGTCCACAGGAGCTGAGCAGGGCTGCTGAGGGCAGGACACTGTGGACGTCACTCATTCCTAGGGTCGCCAGGAGTCAGAGCTGACTCACCAGCATAAACACACACAAGATGCACATGTAGCTACAATAATAGATCTTGGAAATGTAGCGTTGAGTGAAAAAAGACAATGAATTTACAGCACAAAGCCATTTGTGTAAATTAAAACCACATTTGTACACAAAACAACAGTACATGTTTTACAGAGCCACATGCATTTTAAGGGGTATATATCCCACCATTAGGGCCGCTGTCATGGTGGGAGGAGGGGTGGGTGTGGATCTGAGGGATAAAGGGGAAAAATAACAGTCTGTCTGCAGAGAGGCCTGGCCTAGGGATGACGGTGGCGTACCGAGTACTGAAGAATGTGGTTCACTTGGCTCTCCCTCAGGTTTCAAAAGCAGCCCAGGCCTTACCGTCCACAGCACTAGGCTGAAAGCCCAGAAAGGAAACTAAGAACTGAAGGCTCTGGCTCCTGGCACTGCCGGCAAGGCCCGGGCTATGATGGCGGTGCCATTTGTGGATGTCAGATGGGCGGATGCCAGACGAGCTGATCTCTGAGTGCCCGTCAGGCCGCCCTGCTCAGAATGGCCAGGCAATGCCACACCTGCCTCCATCAGCAGCATCCACCAGCCCTAAACCCTTTTGTGCTAATTCCCCCGAGACCAGGAGCTCACAGGCAGCTGAAGAACCCGGCTGTAGTGAAAGATCTCTTCCTTCCCAACACAGAGCTAAAACGACTGGCCGCCTAGGCCACCCCCCCAACGCTGTGCTGGAAAGCACCCACGTCCCCAGACCCCACCTGGGGGTCTCCCAGGGCAGAGAAAGCCCAGGGATCCCCAGGCATGACCAGCTCTTCCTCTTCCCTTGCAGATGATGACGAGCACGAGTGGATCGTCCGGACGTGTCGGAAGGGCTGGGACGAGATCGTGGGTCACAGGCCCAAGCTGTGAGCTCTGCAGGTGCCTCGAGCAGGGGCTGCCCTCCGCCCCATGGCACTGGCTGACCTTGGAGCTGGCTGTGCTTCCAGAACCTGACCTTTGGCTCAGGAATAAAGGCTTTCTGCAGTGTGGCCCCAAGTATCCTTGCCTTGGACTATTTCTTAGAGCGGGATCCCATTTCACCTGCATCAGAATCACCTGGGCATATCTGTGACCTAGATATTCCTGCCAGTCAGAATCTCTGGGAACAGGGTTTAGCAATTTGCACTCCCATGTATTTATTACGCGCGTGGAAGCGTCACCTTACAATAACAGGTATCTGTAATGGAATGAGCAATAATGTGAGCAGGCGGTGTGTGTGTGTTATCTCTGCCCCTCACGACAGCCTTGCAAGAGAGGGAGTCTAAGGTTCAGAGAGATTGAATGACTTGCTCGAGGTCACAAGCATTTGAATCCAGGTCCTTCTGAGAACAGAGCCCAGGTTTTTGTTACTACACTGAGTTGCCTGCCTTACCAGTCTTGGTCTCAAGGGGCAGTAGAACAGGATGACTGTGCCCAGATCCACGGCTGGTACTTGAGATAGGCCCAGGAATGACTGCCCAAGGGCTGTGACTCCCTCTTGGCAGCTGCCCCATTTGAGCCTATACCTTAAGCCCAGAATCACGTGGTGCCAAAGAACAGACGTAGCTTTGGCATCGTACGCACCTAAATTTAAACCCCCGGTCAGCCATTGGTATCATGTAATTTTGGGCAATTCACCTCACTTCTCTGAGCCTGTTTTATCCTCTGTAAAATGGGTATGATGAGGCTGAAAACAATAGGGTAGCTGTGTGGATTGAATGAGATAATATAAGGAGCCGACACCCAGCAGGTGTTCAGTACGTGTTTGCTTTAAAGAATAATTTGTTAGCTGTGCATAGAGCAATTATTCTTCAAAGTCACCCCCAGAGATCAAGTGCCAACTGAAAGCAAGAAGAGGAAGCTGTGACATGTTCTAGGGTCACAAGCACCCTGGATCTTTGTATAGCCATCCCTCCTTAGAGATGACTGGACTCGCACCCCGCCCCAACCCCACTGTGCCTTGTCCCCTGGCTCACCAAGAGCTGCCCAGGAGAGTGAGTCAGGCCTGGGGGGGCTCCGCCAAGGTCTGCGGAGCCCGGAAACTGGCCCTCAAACTAGGTAGGCAGGGTGGCCTGCTGGGGCGGAGCCAGGAGTCAGAGGGAGGCCTGGGTGCATTCGACTGCATCATGGAGGAGCCCTGGGGGGTCTCCTCCCTCCACCGAGGCAACGGTCACCTGGGGGAGTGATAGGGTTGAGCTCCACTGGGGGTTTCCAACCTGGGTTTTGAAAACAGAAGGTACATTTGTCATGTACACACACACACACACACACACACAAAACTAAACAATTTTCAAAGACACACAGGGGTCTAAATTGACACTTGATAATAGGATTGGAAGAGAGGAGGGGGAAGGGCAGAGATGGACTTAGGGATGGGGTGCAACAACTAATAAAGAAGGGGCCTTGCAGGGGCGGTTACCATGTACACCCTGGGCTGAGGTTTACAGGCAAGCGCACAGGGCCACAGCGCCAGGCACGTAGGAGGGCACTGGGAGCCTCTGCGCCGACGGCCACCCCTCCCCTCCTTCTGAGCTTTGGTTTAAACAAACTGTTCTGCTGCTATGGAAGGAAGGAAGGAAGGAAGGAAGGAAGGAAGGAAGGAAGGAAGGAAGGAAGGAAGGAAGGGAGGGAGGGAGGGAGGGAGGGAGGGAGGGAGGGAGGGAGGGAGGGAGGGAGGGAGGGGGAGGGGGAAGGGGGAGGGAGAGAGAAAGCGGGGGTGGGGGTGGCGGTGGGGGGAGGATTGACAGCCAGCAGAAAGGTGTTCTCTCTCACTTCACAGATTTACATGGCAGTTCTGGAACCCAGCAAGGCCAGCATGAGACCCAGACTTGGACCAAAGTTCAAGCCTTGGCTCCCGTCACGTCACCATATCAAATTCTCCCCCATCTTCCAAACAGGCTCCTCTGCGCCTCCCTCTCTGGCCCCCTGACACCTCCTCTTTTGCAGCTATTCTGTGAACTTCTAAGCTGATAAGATCCAGCTCAAATGACCATGCTTGGCCTCGGCCCCCCCCACCACGTTGGTGGGTCCTGTTCCCAGCATTGGCCAGACCAGGGGGCTCCTCCAGGGCAGCGTGGGCCGGGCTCTTTGAGTCCTACAGAGCCGGCCCAGGGCCCGGCAGGGAGTGCGTGTTCAGGAGGGGGACAGAGACAGCAGCCAGATTTCCTTCACAGTTCAGATTAGAAAAGAAACATCATGCCTTCATGAAGTTCTGCTGACTAACTGGGACACAGCACCCACTCTTCCAGGAAGTGGACTGCACTGGGCTTCGGGTCCTGAGCCCCAACCAGAGAGCAGGCAAGAAATGGAATCCCATCGCGTTCTGGATTTAAGTGCCAGCACTTCTACTTGCATTAACTTTATTTATTACACAAATAAGACATTTACAAAGCACAACATGAAAGGTATGTAACAAAACAGACATTGGTTTTACAAAAAAGTGCTTACAATTTTTTCCGTGTGTGTGTGTGTGAGTGTATGTGTGTGTCCCCCTTTTGTTTTGTATTTAAATAAATAGTCTTGATGCCTGTACATTCCCAGGCTGCTCTAACAGGCTAGTGGAGACATGTCTGAACTGCAACATGCTACGACCACATGATCCACGCAAGGGACAGACCCTGGGGGGAGGCTCAAGGCAGAGTGGGTACTGGGTGACCCTGGGCAGGGCTAGGCTCTACATGCTTGCACTGGGGGCCTCAGGAGCAAAAATGAAAGGAGAGATTAGAGTTCCCCAAGGCCAGGGATCAGGCCTGAACTGCTCCTGTTAACACCAGCCCCCAGCACAGGGCCAGAGTGTGTTATTCGCTGGATGAGTTCTGCACTGAGCTGCACCGACCACATTCCGAGTAGCGCCTTCTCTTTGCCCTGAGTCAGCCGGAACCATCTTCAGAGGGGAAAGGAAGCGGGTTCCCTTCTTGAGCTGCACCCACGCCTCGCCTTTCTCCAGGTGCCGGAGCAAGAATAACACATAGGCTTTCATGTTAAGTGCCAGCTTCAAGCATCTGAATTCTGAAACTTGATCCAGACTCAGTAGGAGAGTGTTGTAATTGCTTAGCAATGCCTGCCATGGGTGAACACAGGGACAGTCGATACATATGTGCCATGGACTTGCTTTCCCTGTCCTAGAGTCTCCTTCTGAAGGCAACATATCGGGTTAACCAGAGCACGAAGGAGGACTTGGGCTAAAACATGCTTACTAGCAGCCTCTATGGGAAATGCATCAGGACACCAAGTACTTGTAAAATTACAGGGTAAACTTGGGACAAATGGGCGTCCCCTGGAAACATAAGTCATGGTCTCGTGTAGCCCAAGCCCTTTTGTTTGGGGTGGAAGAGTCGCAGCAGGACAGGGTGGGTGTGAGCACAGACGCGTCTGGCCTCCATTCTCGGCAGTGGGCGGAGGAGCCCAGAGGTGCCAGCTGGAACCTCGGGCTTGGCACGCTCACCTAGCCAGTGGGCACCTCCTCTCTACTCAGATGTGGGTCCAGAATTAACACTCTGCCTGCCATCCCCTGGGCTCTATCCCCCAGCCCCCCAGGAGAGGTGCCCCCCTCAAAAAAGATATGACCTAAGCACTCCTACCAGGAACCAACAGGTGGACAAGACGGGCCCCCAATTCTAACCTGCCCGAACATTTGGAAATATCATCACGGAGTCCAAACACCGCCTCTGCCTTTCGCCTGTGTACATGTGTACTGGAGAGCTAGGTGGGAGGAAGGTCTTCCACATATACCCCGAGTTTTTTCTTTCACTCCCAGCCCAATGTGCCACATCCCCCTCCTTGAGCCCCAGACCACTGCAGGTCTTTGTCCCCCCAGCCCCAGCCTGTCCCCCACCTCCTGGCCTGGGCAGGTCTCCCTCCTGCCCTGCTGGGCCTCTCAGGGTTGGTCAGTGTCTCTTCTCTCTCTGAATTAACTTGACATAACCAGACAGATGGAAATGATAAAATTAGAACATAGCTTTCCTTTGTGGACATCCCACAGACACTGTAGAGTTTTCCAGACAAAAGCAACAGAGCGGATAACACTGGGGGTTGTCGGCTTCCAGAATTCAGAGATGGTTCCAAGGAAGGAGTGAATAAAGGCCAACATGGGAGGAAAGAAAACCTGTAAATGAGAAGGCTGTTGGCGTTGCACAATTCCATTCGTTGAAGATGAGTTCTGTCTAAATGGAAAAACTGGGCTGTTGTTTTCACCCTGATTCCAAATTTCAGGGAGCTGTGCCTTCCAAGAGGAGGATGCTGCGGTGCTCCTGGCGGGTTCTGGTTCTCAGCAGGAGAGGGGACGGCCAGGCCCACAGGCCCAGCTGGTGGCGGGCGGGATGGCAGATGAGGGGTGGATGCGGAGGTGGGTGGATCCCTGGCAGCGCTCGCTCGGACACTGCACTTCAGCGGCTGAGGGGCAGCTGTGGGGTGCCCATGGACAGATGCGCGAGTGCCGGAAGCGTCAGTACTGAAAAAGGATGACCTGCAGAGGGAGGGCATGGGAGGTGGCTGAGCTGGGGGCCTGCCCCACTCAGCAGCTCCCCCGAGGTCCTTGAAGGCACGGAGAATGTGGATGGCTCAGGGCCCAGAGCTGGGTTCAAATCCTGGCTCTGGCACTTACTTGCTGTGGGACCTTGGGCAACTCACTTCACCTCTCTGAGCCTGTTTCCTCATCTGTAAAATGGGAATGACAAGACCTCTCTCTCAGAATAGGGAGGATTCAGTGAGATACAAGAGCAGCAGCAGCTGTCTCCTGGGCACTGCACCCTGCCCGGCACTGCGTGAGGAGCCTCACCTGCACTCTTTCATGGAAGGCGCATCGCCATCCCGCAAGGGTGCCCCCCAGCTAGCTCCATGATACAAGGGAGGGCTCAGAGAGGTGAAAATCAGTGAGCCTGCAATCCCGCAGCTAGGAAGAAGTGAACCCAGCGCTCAGCCCAGGCCTGGCTCCGGAGCAAGCTCTCTTCATTATACAACACGCAGCCTCTTCCTCTCGGAGGCCACCATGACCGCAGTCATCGTGCTTAGGGCAGACGAGGCGACAGGCCAAGCACTTCATGCGCACTTAGTCTCCCCAAAGCCGAAAGGCAGGTGGCTCAGACACACCAGGCACCTGACACACAGTGAGTGACCAGGGACCGTCTGCCCGTCCCCCTCCTCTTCTACCTAAAGCATCAGCTGGCTGACTTCTAGGCCACCAACACAGCCACTCCCTGAAGTTCAGGTCAAGGATACTGGCTGTTAGATCAACGGGATGTCACAGTGAAGTGTCAGGTGGAGGTCTTAAGTGGTCCCAGGACATCAAGTGGGTATGGCCATATGGCTGTTCCATTTCCTGACCCAGGTTACGTGCCCAGATCAGTTACGGGAAGAGGGGACGGAGGAAAGCAATGGGGACAGTCTCCACAGGAGTGAGCATAGCAATAACCACCATCTATGGCTACTTTCTGTGAACTGGGCGCTGTGCTAACTTCTTACATACATTACTGTGCTTGCCTTCAGCAACAAGCTTAGCTGGTGGGACCTGTTATTATCCCCATTTTGTGGCTGCAGGAACAGAGGCTCAGAGAAGCTAACCACGTTCCCAGGTCTCAGAGTGAGAAGTGGCAGAGCTGGGATTCGAGCCACACCGCATGGCCTCACCCACTCACCCAGCCTAGGGCAACGCTCTCCTCTGGCCTCCAGGATGCCTGGCCGGGGGGCTCTCTGGTGAGACCCCTCCCCTCTGCGAGCCTCAGTCTCTGCATCTGCTCAATGACAGCTCAGCCCTGATTTCTAAGCACCTTCTAAGCTCCAAAACTGCGGCGTCAGGAGCCATGACCAGAAAGAAATGTGGTTCTGGAAACTCACAGGTGTGTGTGTGTGGCCAAATGATGACGGAGCCGGGGGAGAAGGTGCTCTTCCTCGATGCTCAGAGCCCATTCTCCCGGCGGGGCCAGGCCTGGGCGTAGTGAGTGGGTTCAGGGGCCTAGCCCGGGAGCACTGAGTCTCCCTGTAGCTAGGCTGGCTCAGGCCTAGGGTGACTTGGGAGAAGGCCCATACAGTTCTGCACCCGCTGACCACACATAGCTCACCAGGCCCCAGAGGTTTGTCAAGATGTGGACAGAAAAGGTGCCCAGGGAGGAAGAAAGGTCAAGAAGGAGGGGGAGACATTTTTCTGCAGAGCTGCTAGATGTGAAGTTGGGGACGCAGCCCAGAAAGAGAGAACCCTGGCTCAACAGCCAAACCCAGGGGCCAAGAACCTTCTACAGCCAAAGCTGCCAGACCCCAGGCTGGCTCATCTTTCAGGCTGAACCAGACATAACCAGAACTTAGCTGAGCCACCAGGAGTCCAGGGCTTGTCTCCAAGCTCTGAGCCCGGCCCTGAATCCTTCCAAGGCTAACGCCCCTCCAGATAACGCCCAGGCCCCTCACCCTGTGATCCAAGCCCTGCATTATGTGACCCGGTCACCTCCCTGGACCTCGGCCACACTAATGCCCTTCTCCTCCTTCCTTGCTTCTCCCCTAGAACTTTCACTCCCTCTTCCCGGTTCTTGAAGGCCATGTTCATCCCTCACCTCAAGTGCCCTGGCACTCAGGGTGCAGCTACCTGCCTCCCATTCCAAGTCACACACTCCCGGAGGACAGGGACAGTGCCAGCTGGCCTCTGCAGCCCCTGCCCCAGGTCTGAGGCGATGAATGCGCCCCTGAAGGAGGGGACAGCTCCAAGGCAGACACTGCTGGAGTGGAAGGCAGCCCCAGCCACGCCCTCTGTGCAGCCCAGGGCGAGCTACTGTTCCGTCTGAGCCCCAGTGTCCGCAGGTGTGAGAGGGAGTCAGCAGGAACCATCCCCCCAGGGAGGCTGCAGAGGCTGAGACCAGGGAGAGCACTGTGTAAACCGTGAAGTGCTGCACGAGAGGACGCGGTTACTGATCTAGGCAGACTTTGGAGCCCAACAGATTCGCTGCATCCCTGGACAAGTCGTCACCTCTCTGAACCTCTGTTCTCTTATCTTTACCACCAGGATGCCATCCTCACACCCACAAAGTGGTTGGCAGGCATCAGACAACATGTGTGAAGCGTCTGCCATGAACAGAGGAGCTGCTCGAAGAACAACAGCTCTTACCGTGAGCTTGGCAGTCCCAGGGGGCACATTCCTGGGACGTGCTCACCGCCTCGCGGTGCTGCGGGATTTTGCCTTGAGCACTACCAGTTACTTGTAAACCTCTGTCCAACTAGGTTGTCTGTACCTCCATACCACACACCTTCCCCCACGGTGGAAGCACCGTGCCCGGTACACAGCGAGCGCTCAGTCAGGAGGCAGAGCGAGAGCGGCTGTCCTGGAGGGTGGTCCTCACCTCTGTGCGTACCCGAATCACACAGGCTGGGCATTACACTAGCAGATCCCTGGTCCCCGCCCCAGACCTCCTACCTCGTTGGCTCTCTAGGGGCCTAGGCTGGGGAATCTGCAGCTTTACAAACTACACAGGCGATTCTAAACATCACACCAACACCAGCCGCACTCTGCTGGACTCAAGGCCTCTGGGGCCCCTTCTAGCTTAAGGCCTTGGCCCCCTCCCCCTGTCCCAACACCCTGACTCCCAGCGCTCCCTGTGTCTCTTGAAGAGCACTGCAGCGATGTTTCTGACAGGTCGCCAGGGACCACCACTGCCCGAGACAAAGTCCACACGCCCCCACCTGGCAGCCTGAGGCCCCCACCCTTACTGTTCTTCCTCCCGAGCCTGTGTGCCAGAAACACTGGATTGCTCAGTGTTCCCTGAGAGGGCTTCCCATGACTTCCCCCATGAACTCTGACTCAGCCGTCAGGCCTGGGCTCAGATGTTGCCTTCCTCTAGGAAGCCTTGTGTCTCTCCTGAGCTGCACCCCGACCCCATCACAGTTTGATAGCAGTGTTCGCAGTGTTGTAACTGTTGGGGTGTGTCTCCCCCTCCAGACTGCGGTCTCCTCAAGGGCAGGGACCATGTTTTGCTCTTCTCTGTGCTCCTGGCAACTGGCTTGGGGCTCCTGGGCACAATCAGCACATAGCAAACATCAGCTAATACATGAGTAAGTGAATTAATAAATGCATAGGTTCTCATTCAGGCTCTGCGGCCTTGAGCCACCTGGGCCTCGATTTCCCCCTATCTAAAATGGAGCGTGTCTTAGAGCAGTGGCTTTCAGGCTAAGTAGGAGGTGGCCTGGAGCTAAGAGGGAGCTGGGAGGGGAAATTCCCTCTGCAGTTTCACCCAGAGCAGCTCTACCTACTTTTATCTGCATTATGGGTTATGGAAAAGATTTAATGAAGGTTTCCAGAGCTTAAGGACAAAACTTTCAATCACTGGACTGGCTGATGTTTAAGTACCCTTCTGGGTGTTCTGTCCTAATGCTGGAGACACCTAGAGACCAGGAATCCTTTCACAAAGGAGACCTTGCCTGTTGATCAAGGTCACTTGCTGACCTGCTATCCCCAGGCCACACAAGCTCAGGATATTCACCCCCAACAGACAGGAACAAAAAGGAGAAAGTAGAAGGAACCAGGGAGATGGTGGGAAGCAGGGTGGCGTGTGATATGAGCCCTCTCTGGATCCCCAGAGTTTGAGCAAAGTAACTAAATTCATAAGTCTGCAAACAAGAGGGCCAGCCAAGGGGGCCTTTGGAGTGACCGCGCACATAGAACACACTGGCACCTGCTCGAGCGACTGCTTCAGGGACAAGGTGGGGGCCTGAGCGTGCTGGGCGGAGAGGCATGGTGCCTGCTCGGTGTAAGGAATGCTGCTGGAACCCATCCCACCAGACCCAACCTGGCTCCATTTACCTTCTCACCCCGGTTGGAGAGCGGCCCATCCATATCGGCTTTGAGGTGGACGGGGGGCGCGGTGTAAGGCAGCCGGCAGTGCACCTGCCCGCACTGTACCTGACCTGTGGATGAGAGGAGGCCTTGGAGCCCATACCCGCCCTCCATGCAGGATCCCACCTGCCCTGTGCTCAGCAGGCTGGAGCCCTGGGACCATGCTCACCTCTGCTAATTACCAGCTGATTGGCCCGGGGCAAAATTGCATAGGGTTGGTTGCAATGCCCTATGTGAAGGGCTTTATAACCTATAAAGTTCTCTATGGTAACTGTCAGCTGATCGATACATAAACACTCATAAATGAATATGTATTCAATACCTCCTATATGCAAGGCTATCTGTTAGGATCCTCCCTTGGTGTCTTGTACATTTCCTCCCAGGTATCAACAAGGCTTTCTCCTCAGATAACTCTGCACTCGTATGTCAGCTTCCTTGTGATGCTCTCCTTGACCACTCTATTTAAAATTGCAAACCAACACCCACCCTCACACTCCTTGTATCTGCCAACTAGAATGCAAGCTCCAATGAGGGTAGGAACTTTTGTCTGTTTTCCAGATTCCAGATCTTTGTGAATTTCCAGTACCCAGAACGAGGCGTGGCATCTTTCTGTACTTATTCTAACATCTAAAACTGTAAGGAGAAGTCCACCCTTACATCTGATCCAAATCTCTCACATTTCACCCAAATCTCTCATGTTTCAGCCTCTTTACCACTAAAGTAGAGAAGTCCACGGCTTCCTCTTCCCTGCACTCTAACCACTTTGGTTACAAAAAAAGAGCCCTGTAAAGAGACTTAAAATTGATATGTAACTTGGGACAAGTCACTGTGCCTTTCTGAGCCACAGTTCCTTCATCTGTGGAATAAAGCAGTTATACAAGATTGAGGATTCTTAACCTGAAGTGCTCTTGGAGTCCATGAACAGCCTGAGATGACATGGAAAACTATGTGCGTATGTGCATTTTTCTGGGGTCTGGTTCCAAAGCTTTTTTCAGATTGCAAGCTCTAAGGCTCCAGGAAACTCAGGATCCTGTGAACATAGTTAACTGCAAAGCAAACTGCCCAGGTGAACTGCAGTCACGCAGCAGGAGGCAGCAGGCCCAAGGACACTTGAGAGCTCCTGCCCCAACCTGGGTTCCACCTCAAGGTGAAGAGGAAAGGGCCCTTCAGCCCCTGCTCTAGGTGTCAAAGACATACCCAGGCTTGGCCAACACAGTACAAGGGCAGAGTCCTGGCATGACTCTGGAGGCCAAGGCCCCGCTCCCAAGGGAGCCACTTAGATCCATTACCAAGTCCACAGTAACTGAGAGCTGGTAGCCCAAATTCCTGGTACCAAGAGAGCCCCTGGTGCTTGGTGCCTTTAACAGATGAACTAGATAGCCTATGGGCTCTCTGTGGCCTGAACAGAAGTCATTGTTTAAAAAAGAAAGGGAGAAAAAGTCCCTCCTACTGAGCAGATGGTTCAGAAAGGAAACAGCAAAGATGACGTTCCCACCAGCAGCCTGGGGCGGTAGGCAGGACTCTGCGCTCTCAGCGCAGCCAACCAGGACCACAGCTGCCATCACGGGCCAGCTAATACTTACCTAGCACTTACTAAGTGCTGAAGGCTTTTAAGTCAACAGTCTCATTGAATGCTCACAACACTGCTTTGAGATCGGTATTCTTACTGTCTTCATTTTTACAGATGAGGAAACTAGTATTCAGGGAAGCTAAAGAGCTTGCCCAATGTCACACAGCCAGGAAGTGGCAGGGATGGGATTTTAGGCCAGACAGTCTGACACCAAAGCCCACACTCGATCATTAAAGAACACTAGCTCCCACTCACTCATTGTGGACCTTTGGTTTCCTCATCTGTATAATGGGATGGTGATCCCTGATGTTCAGGAACATGGCTAGTGTCTGGCACATGGCAGGGGCTCAGTGAACAGCAGGGTCTCTCTGACCTCTTCCTTTTCCTAGAGCTACAGAAGGGAGGATTTGAGTTTGTGAGTACATTGTAGCCACTTCTGTTTTTCTGGTTATGCCCTGCTTTGAGGAAATAACCAATAGGAATACCCTTGAAGGGAAAGAAAATGTGTGGTAAGCACCTACTCAAAAGCAGATTCACTGAAATTCATCCCCCAGAAATGCACAAGGCTACTTACTCCCTCTCTCCTCCAACTTCCTGGTCCAAGTTCACTCCTCCGTGACCACCCTCTATCGCCCCACAGTGCTCAGCGCCCACGGGCGTGCCCGTCCTGTATTATTGTCTCTCCACCCACGTCCCACTCTGGAATGTGAGCCCCAGGAGCACACAGGCTTTGGTCTGTTGTGTTCTATGGTGTACCCCAGTGCCGAGGACGCAAAAGACACTCCAAAAATAATGACTGATATGAGTGTGTTTTCACTACCCTGCGAGGTAGGCATTATTAAAGTCCCAGTTTGTAGATAAGGAATCTGAGGTTCAAGGAGGTTAGGTGATTTGCCCGTGGCTTCGCAGCCCTGAGTATTTCCACCACACTGGCATTTTCCTTGTACCCCAAGTGCACCCAATGCCATTGTGCTCCCTGTGGCAGGCGGCAGACCTGCCTACATTCAGTTCCATTGACATTCTGCTCACCTGTTTCCCCACTCCTTGTGTCTCACTCATCCTACCCATCATTCTGGTCTCAGCTTTCTGAGAGGCGGCCCCTCCACCCTCCCATCCAGCACCTTCCCCAGAGGGATCATCGCAATGAAAACACGCTCATCTATCTGATTCTTGTTCCATGTTGTCTATACCACCAAAATGCAAGCTCCACCAGAGCAAGGACTTTACCCACCTTGTTCTCTCCCTAGTCCCCCGGGCCCTGGCACAGAGTGAGTGCTTGTAAAGTACTTTTTGAATGACTGAATGGCTTGCTTCTACTGAGGCGGAGCCAGGTAACTTAGTACCTCTTCCCACTACCTAGGTCTGAGCGACCTTGAAGCCCACATCTTCACCCACGAGGCTCCGAAAGGCCTCCCCACTTCTCCGCGGCCCACGCGCGCTCCTGTCCCAGGCCAGGAGGCCTGGGTGTCGCGGTCACTTACTCTCAATGTAGCCGTGCAGGGTGACCATGCGCGCCCGCTCAGGGCTGCTGAATGGGGAGTAGTGGATGTCGTCGGATAGGGATGAAGGGAGGCGGGACGGCGGTGCCCCGGAGGGCGGCACAGGATGCTGTGGTGTGTGTTTTTTATGACGCGCCCGGCAGTTTTGAAACCACACCTGGAACGACAGCCTCAGCAGCCTCAGCTTCATGGAAAAGGGTCGGACACGCCACCGGGGGACCCCAGACGGGACTGCCTCGTCGCCTCCTGAAGAAAGCGGCCACGTGCGCCCGGGACCGCAGCTCCGCTGCCCCAGGAGCCGCTCGAGGGCCCACCCCCAGACCGCTAGACCCCGCCCAAGACCTGAAGGCACCGCCCTTCCCCGGCCCCACCTGGATGACCCTCCGGCTGAGGCCCGTCATGTCCGCAAGCTTCTGCAGCGTCTGCGCGTCGGGATTGTTATCCTGCGCGAACTGCGCCTGCATAACCTGCAGAGCAAGGGGGCGAAGGGGCGGAGGCGAATAGGCACGGGCGCAGGGAGGTCTCCAGGGCCCTCGCCCAATCAGAGGCTCCGGCCTGGAGGCCACGCCCCAGAGAGCTATAGCCCCACCTCCCCACCGCGATTTCTGGAGAGGCGGAGCCAGGAGGCCCTCTCAGACACGCCCACACCAACTCCCCGCCCACACCTGGCCACCAGCGACCTTCCCCGGTACCTGCAACTGCTCGGCTGTGAAGGATGTCCGCGCGCGCTTGGCGGGCTTGGGCTGACTGTCCTGCTCCGAGGGCACTGCCCCCTCCAGCGTGAGGCCGTTCCCTGGGGGCGACAGAAGTGGCTCACCACGCGTCCGCACCTCTTCTAATGGCAGCCTGGAAAGGACGGGGGTGGGGGGAGCTGGTCCCTGGAAGGGTCAGGAGCGGAGTTGGCTGGGGGCGGGGACCCCAGGGTCCTAGTCCCTGAGCTCAGTCCTCGGGGGAGGGGCCTTTCATTTCTGACCGTCCGCTTAGTATCAGGCGCTTCTCTTTCAGTGTGCCCTTTATGTCTCTCAGCCCTGAGAACAGGTGACATTATCCTCGCTTTAAAGCGGAGGAAACTGAGGCTTAGAGAGAAGAAAGCCCCTGCCCCGACCTTTCACTAGTGTTCTGACTCCGGCGGATACAAGTAGGAAGCAAGCAGGCTGCAGAACTGTGATCCTAATTTTGTACAACCTGATGAAAGCAAAAAGGTTGGAAGGATATAATTTTTAAAGCAGATGGAAGCACAAAGGTCGGAAGGTGCAAGGAGTGCGATTATGGAGGTTCTACTTTCAATATTTCTCTAATTTTGGAGGTTTTTACAATCATACATCACCTCACTTCTCTAAGGCTTAATTTTGTCAGCTATTCTCTTTCCACTTATATTACTTTTACAATCACACTAATATACTCCCATTTCATTTTTAATATCTCATTTTTTCTGAATACAAAGGTAATGAGTACATGTTCCTTATCAAAAACTCAGAAAATCCGGATAAGCACAAAAAAAGAAAATTAAAATCACTAGCAATTACACCACTATTCACAATTTATTGTACTTTTAAATTAGGAAAAATACTATGTTGAGGAAAGAACAAAACAAACATTCCAACATACATACATAGAAAAAAAAAACCTGGGAAGACATGCACTAAAATATAAGGGGTGGTGGCATTTGGAGTGATTTTTATTTTCTTTTTGCTTAAGTGTCTTTTCTCAATTTTCTATGAAGGATGTGTGTCTGTGTTTAAGTTTGGAAAGTAAAACAGAAGCCCAGAAAGTAAAGAAGGTCTCAAGCCTTGAAATTCCTCTGCGTGGTAGGAGCCTGGGGCGGGGCCTGGCTGGGGGAGCTGGGGTGTACCCAGCCTGGCTGCGACTGGGAGTGGTCCTGGTTGGTCTGGGTGTGGGCGGAGCCTGGGGTCCCTGATGGCCATGGGGTGGGGAAACTTCTGCTCCCTGGATTCCATCCCAGCTCCACTGCTAACTTGTCCGCCACTGGAGGTGGACACAGCACCCCAGCCTCACTGGCTCCCCCCCAGGCCCCCTTCGTCCCAATCCTGGCAGGAGAAAGTGATGGCCCTGGCCAGGAATACCCTGGGGATCTCTAACTAGTCTCCAGGCTGTAAATGGAGGCAGGGTAATACTTACTCCTCCCCAGAGGCACTGTGGATGGGATATTTTGTGGTATTAATGTCTTCTAGGACAGCAGTCCCCAATATTTTTGGCAGCAGAGACCAACTTCATGGACGACAATTTTTCCACGGACTCGTTGGGGGTGGGGGCAGGGGAGGGTTGGTTTGGGGTGATTGAAGCGCATTACATTCAAGCTCACCTCCTGCTGTGCAGCCAGGTTCCTAACAGACCCCGACTAATACTGGTCCACAACCCCGGAGGTTGGGGACCCCTGTCCTAGGAGAACAGGCAGGACAAGGATTGCTGTGCCTGTCACTGCAATAGAGAAACGAAACTCATAGAGGGAGCCGCACCCCAGCAGCCTCCCCTGCTCGGTGAGGTCTGATGAAAGAGCCTTGGGACTCGGGAACGGGGTGGTGTGGCATGGTGGGTAAGAACCTGGGTTCTGGAGTCAGGCAGATGTGCTGGTATGTAACCTTTGGCAAGTCACATACTGCAGATAAACTCTGCCTGTGTCCTCACCTGTAAAATGGGGATACACCAGCTACTTCTTAGGGTTGTAAGAATTACATAGAATAATCCCTTTGCAGAGCAGCAAGCAGCTTCCGGACCCAGATAGGGGGATTATGGAAAGGGTCCCTGCCTCTGCCCACAGACGAGCCTCCGCTCCCCCTTTCTAGCCCCCGACCCACCTGTAACTCAGCCACCACAGTCCCTGGAAGACCTGGCCCCTGTCCCTGGACCTATGTTTCTTGGGAAATCACAGTATCAGAATGCTAAGAGATTCAGGGTTCTTCCTAGTCCACCATCCATCTTGCACAGATGGGGAGACTGAAGCCCAGGTTGAAAAGGAAATTTCGCACGTCAGAAATGCATGTCAGAAGCAAAACTGGAGTTCCCGTCTCCATTCTCAAAGGTCCTTCTCCTTACAGTCCGGCATGAAACCCCTGCCCCTAAACCTCTGGCTTAGAGCTACTGGCTTGGGAGTTGAGAGAACTGGGTTGGTCATTTCTCTGTAACAGCTGTAGGGGATGAGCGCTCGGCCAACCGGTGCTATCCAAAGGTGCAGTAGGCTGCCCCGTTGTGAAAAATCATCTCTAGCATTCATTGGCTGCCTCCTGGCCTAACAAAACATCCGCTCACCTCCCTTTGAGAAGGTGTCCTATCTAAACCCCATTTTACAGATGAGAAAATACAGTTGCAGGGACAGGCAGTGATTTCCAACTCCCAAGCACATGATGGAGCCAGACGTCTGGGCTCCGTGCGCAGCCTCCGGGGGATCAGGTGAACACCAGTCTCTAGAAGAGTGTGGGCACTCTCTGGGGTGTGAGGGCGGGGGAGGGCTGAGGGCAGAGGGCAGGGGGGTGGCCAGGTGCTGGGCGGGGCTGGTGCGGTACCGTTCTCTGCGGCCCTCTTGAGGTTCTCGATCATGGTGTCGTAGTGGATTCGGCACAGCACCTTCTCTTCAACCAGGCCAAATTCTTCGCCCGTGGACAGCTGGCGCTTGCACGAGAAGCAGGCGAAGCAGGCCAGATGGTAGGCGTTGCCGCGAGCCCGCCGCACCCAGTCGCTGGCGTAGATCTGTCGGCCACACCGTGCGCACTTGGTCCCAAATCGGCTGTGGGACACCGGGGCAGGGAAGGGGATGGCGAGGCTCAGACAGGCCCCCTGCCCCCCTCCAAATCCCAGTAGCCTGCCTGTACCCAGGCATCTGGGCTCAGGGCTGTCACTTGCTAAGGAATGTCCCTATGCCTGGATCCAGCACCCCCACTTCCAGACAACAGCCACCTGGAAAGTGAGTTGGTGGGTGGTTTTAATTTTCTTCTTGGTGTTTTTCTGGGTTTTCCAGGTTTTCTACAGTGATCACTTTCATTTGTATATAACATTAACTTGTTCACTAAAATATATCATAAGTGTTAGGGAAATATAATAATAATAATAATAGGCAAATCGTTGAGCACTTACCACGTGCCCAGCAGGATTCTAAGTGCTTTGTATTGATTATACTAGGTGATCATCATTTTTCAGATGAGGAAAAAGGGAGTTAAGTCACTTGTACAAGGTCATGAGGCTTGCAAGGACAGGAACCCGAGATGAATAAACTGTACCCCAGCGAAAGAGAGGCTGGGAGTTGCTGGGAAGCCTAGACAGATATGCATTACTGGCTTGATGACTCTGAGCAAATTGTTTAACCCCTCTAAGTTCTCATTTTCCTTGCCCTGAACTGAACTGAATGACAACAGCAATGACTACTATTATTTGTTCAGTGTTTTGCAGTCTATTAAGTAACCAGCTAGTCCCAGACTCTGAAGCCCCATGACATTCTAACAGTAAATGTTAAAAAGACCAAAAGAGCCCAGATCAAATGTCTTCGTACCCCTTAAGGCTTCCCTGATTCTGCCTCTTTCCCTTCTCCCTCCCCCTTTACAGTGCGGTTGTTTGGGTGCAGCCTCCCCCACCAAACCAGGAGCCCTTGGGAAGCAGCAGAGTCCGGTTCGCCCCGTCTGAGCATCGCCCCAAGGTCTGGCCTGTGAGCACCAGGGAAGGTTTGCTCTTAACATGGGCGTGAGCCTGTCTGAACCCTCTGAGCCTCAGTTTCCTCTGGTGCACACTCCATTTCAGGCTAAGGTGCCACCACTGCAGCAGCTCAGGCTTAGTAACCTAAATCACACGTTCCTCCCTCCCCTAACCCCACATCCAGCCAATCAGGAGGCACTGGTGGTGCCTTTCCTAAGTATCCCCAGGACGCGTCTCCTCCTTTTCATTGCCACTGCCGCCCCCTAGGCCGGGCTCCCATCATGCACCCCTTTCTGCAAGTCTTAGCCCTGGTCTCCCTGTTCCCAGGGCCAATCCATCTTCCAGAAAGCGGCCACAGCCAAGTTTCCAGCATGCACACTGAATCCTGTCCTGCCCTGCTTAAAATATTTTGGTGGCTCCACTCCACCCGTGGGATCTGGCCCAAGACCCTCGGAGTTTACAAAGCCGGACAGACCACATCCTCTCAGGCTCATCTTCTCTCTAACTTTTCTCAAGATCCCCCACCCCAAACCCAAGCTTGAGTCCCAGTCAGTCGCCATGGAAGGGCATTCCCAGATCTTCACGGGGCCCCTCTGCAGCATTTTCCCACCCCAGGCCTTCACACGCTCTCATGGTCCAGGAGGAAGGAGTGCCACAGCCCCCAGCACCGCCCTCTCTGCATTGACGGCACCGGTTTGCAGATGTTGGGTTCCCTGGATCTCTCTTCCACCTCTGGCACTCCTGAGACAGGACCAAAAAGACTCACCTCTGGGTCCCCAGGGCCAGAACACCCCCACCTGGAGAAGCATTGGACACGCTGTAAGGGTGCCCCGAAGCCAGCCCAGAAAATGCGCTCTGGTTACAACATCATCTGCCTTGGCAAACCAAGCAACTCTTAGTTGAATAAAAGGGTCTTGGGTTGAACTGAGTGTGGGAGAGGAGAGGCCTCGGCCAGCCTGGGGTCCCCAACACAACCCCAACGCGACTGCCTCCGGCCAGAAATTGTTAGCTCAGGCGCCGCTGCGAGCCTCTGCTGGGTCAAACCCTAAAGAGAGGCGGTTCCCTGCCGCGGAAACTCGGCTTCCCCAGGGCAGAGCCCAGCACAACCTGGGATTTCTGTTCACAATCCCTCAGCAGAGGGGAAAAGAACTCGCTTTACCCACACAGTCTATTCTCGTCGTGGGGCTGGCCTCGGTTCGGCTGTCGGTCTGGCGGCTACCGGATTGGGAGCCCTTTCTGGCCTCGGAGAGGAGGGAGTGGCCAGCCGAGTGCGGAGCCCTTGCTGAGGTCCGGGGTCCTGTGGTGCAAAGCCTCCACTGCAACCTCGGCTTCGCCGCAAGGGCCTAAGGTGGGGACTCTGGCACCCACTTTGCACACGTGGAAGCGGAGGCTCAGAGTGGGAGAGTGACTACTAGCTCAAGACCATAAAGAAAGTGGGGCCGGGGTTGAGGTCCGCTTGGAGGTGCAAAAAGGACCTCGAATCTGCAGAAGCAGCCAGGCTGGAGGTGGGATCTGGATCCCGGGTGGTGAGCAAGAGAGGGGCCTGGTCTGACCCCATCGTGTCCCCAGCCTGGTCCGCGGGCTCCTGGATACTCCAGCTCGCAGGGCCTGGGGGCCAGGGAGTTGGCGGGGGTGGGGGTGCGCGGTGCGGAAGGTGCGTTTCCAGTGAGTGGGAAGCGCCAGGGAAGGGAAGGTCCGGCCTTTACAGGACAGGTGAGAGCGACTTCGCCGCCCCTCCGTGGTCTCCTTGCACCGCGGCCAGTGCCCTGCGCCAGGGTAGCACCCGGGGTCTTCGAGCTTGGCTGTGTGGGATTCCTAGTCCTCTGGCAGGGACACGTCCCAGACACCCCGCGCATCCCTGATCTTCCCGCTCCAAAGTCCGCAACGCCCGCGCGCGCTCTACGCCTACAATGGCTGCTCACAGGTCCCCCATCTCCTTGATCCCAGGTGGCCGCCGCGAGTGGCTTCTCAGCAACTTTCTCAACACCTCCCCCATAACACCCCAAATTCCAGGAGCTGTCCCCAGGCCTAGGATCTCCCCGCGCTCGCTCTGGCTCGGCTCAATCAACGAAATTATCCTCGAGTTGGATCCTTGGATGGAGGAGGGGGTGGGGTCATTATGCAGTTTTGGATACGTTGCAGGCCGTTACTGGAGCGTGTCCTCCACCCAGGGCAGGGACCAATGGCACAAACAAGGATGAAATGAGTTGGCTTACGGATCGAGGCTCTGACAAACAGACAGGCTCCTTTCCAGGCGGGCTGCAAGGCCCGAGCCGCCAGGTTCCGGAAGCAGCGAAATTGGTGTCGGAGAAAACGAAACTTCAAGAAAAGGGTGTGCGGGAGCTGTGGAGCGAGCGCCAAAGGGATTAGGGGGCGCGGCTACAGCCCCAGACTCGTGCGCGCCCCTCCCTGGGTCCCGGCCCACGCCTCCGGGCAAAGACGCAAAGGACAGCTGCGCCTTGGGAATGGAGACGTGCATAACAGACGCTGCGTATCAGTAACAACTGCTGAAAGGGGTCTGGGTGGTCCTCACGCACCTCCTCGCTCTCTCTCCCCAAAGGAGGGAGCAGTGATAGCTGGGTAGTCGGGGTTGCGCAGAGGGAGCTGTGAGCCCCTGCCCAAGTCAGGCTCACTCTCCCGCACTACTTCCCCTGGATACCCAGCAGGCGGTCAGTGATCATTTGTTGGGTGCGCCTCAACGAAAGAGCCCATCGGAGTTTCACCCAGTCCCCCATCATTAAGCAACCCCTTTTCTGCAGGAGGAAACCGAAACTCAGAGTGGGAAGGCCACCGTTCATTCCGAAGCTAACGAGCCAGGGCGCCAAAACTCAAACCAGAGTTCACTTATTTTACGTTCAGGATGCTCCCTTGATAGCCTTAGATTCTAATGAGGCAAACAAGGGGGATTGTAGGTGGGACTCTGCCTATCCCCTCTGTTCCTTCTCTTCTAGGCAAACTTTTAGGAGAAGCCAGAAAAAAACAGAACCAGCAATTAAGAGGTTAAAAGGCCCTGCGCCTCGGAGGCCCCGACCTAAGGCCCCTCCCCCAAACTCCTTTCTTTGCTCCCCCAACATCTGTACCCAAACAGCTGACCGCTGCTTGGGCCACTCTCTGCTGTGGTGGGGGGTCCGCTTCCCAGCTCTGGAAGATTCCTGGGGACCCTTGCTCTGAAGGAGAGGGTGGGGTTCTCCCATTGGAGCTTGGGTTCTAGGCAGAAGGCAGGAGAAGGATGAGGTGCTGGCCCTAAGCCTCTTGGGTTCCGTACGGGAACTTCAGGGGGAAGCTCCAGTGGCCCAGCCCAGGGCACTCCCTTAAGTTTACCCTACAAACTCCAGGAGCCACACTTAACCCTTTACTCCCCACTCCCATGGTCTGGAGGCAAGAGGGCCAGGGGCCAGGGCGACCTGATCCTGGCAAAACTAATCCATTCAGGGCCTCTGAAGGAAGCCATTCGGGTCCCAGTGCTCCCAGAGTCCACCCAGGGAGTCTCACATCGGAGCACCCAGTGGGTGCTCCCTGAGTTAAGCCACGCAAACTGGGCAAGGAATCTTAGAGCCAGCAAAGAGGGGTCTTTGCCATTCCACCGGCCCCACCTCCTTGAGAGGAGCTGCTGAGATATCTCACCTATAGAAGAAGTGTATTGAATGTTTATACACCGGGATGGTAGAGTCAGGCAGCCCTGGGTCTTATCCAGGATCTGCCACTTAGGAACTGTGTGACCTCACCTCGAAGAGCCCAGTTTCCCCTCCTCTAATGTGGGGATTATGAGAGTATCATAATCACAGGGTGGACCTGAGGATTCAGTGGGATAAAGCAAGTAACGAGTTAACACAGTTCCTGACTTAGAGCTGAGCTTCAAACCTTCCACGCCCATTGTGTGTCCTCACCCCTGCCCTGCCCCCTTCCCACTCTCTCCCACTGTGTGACTTTGCGCTTCACCTGCCCCCCTCTGCGTCATTCATCTCCCCAGCTCTACAAGGGGTATGACGCTGCAGGAGGCCGAGGGAGCCAGGAGAGCCGGGCAGGTCAACCTGCTGCCGTTTCGGGGCAGCAGCTGCGGGTCAGTGGGTGGGGGAAGCCGTCTTGGGCTGTGGTTGATACGGATGCCCTAGAAAGGAACATTATTTTTTTTCCTCAGGACTTTTCTTTGCTCCTTCAAAGAAAATGGAAAGAAAAATGGTCTTACCCGCCCCCCCCCCCCCGCAAAGTAAAGAAATTAAAAGCAATGTTCTATTTCCCTGGTGGCAATTTTTTTTTCTCTAGGAGTGAGGGCAGTTGAGCTGTTGAGGTCCCGTTGGGAGGGAGATTTGGAGAAACTGAGGCAGAGAGATTCAGCGACCTGCTGTCAAGTGCAATCAGCCCGTGGAAAATCAACTCCTCCCAACGATGCCAATGAGCCAGGAGCAGCACTGGACCTCCCTACGCTCCCCCCCCACCCCCACCCTGAAGTGTTTCCTGGTGACTCTGGAGTGCTTTTCTAACTTCTAACTTCTGGCTCTGCCCAACGAGACTGAAGGACTGTCTCCAAGGAGGGCTGAGATGGAGGGTGGATTCCAAAAGAAGCCCTTCAGTGGCAGTGCTCTCTCCCTCCCTCCTGATGAAAATCTTGACTTCTCAGGGGCAGAGGGCTCCGTATCCCACCAGACCCCTGACCCCGGAAGGAAACAGAGGGCCAGAGAATCTAAGAGCACGGTCCCTCCCTGAGCCCCAGGTCTTGCTCGAAGGGGCACTCTGCCCTGCATCAGTCACGCTCTCTCCAGGAAGACCTCCCTTACAACAGCCCCCAGAGCCAGGGCTGCTGCTCAGGGCAGGCAACAGTCCCTGCCTGCCTCCCACTCCACCAGTTTTCCCTTTCTCTTTTTCTAGATTTCATTATGTTTGTTACAGGTGGGGCTGCCAGCAATAGGTTAGGCCTGTGGGGAGACCTGGCTAGGGGAGAAAGGATCAAAAGAGCCACAATTCCTCCCTCCCCCAGGGGAATGTGAGCTTCTCTTCCCTCCATTTTCTTAATCAAAATCTGTTTTAGTTTTGCTTTTGGGGTTCTTGTCACTGGAAAAGGATAGCGCTCAGAACCTGTAGCCCAAAAATGGCACAGCCCCACCCCTCCAGGCAAGCCCTGTTCCTCACACTGCCTGAGAAAACGACCTCAGGGGGTTGTGTCAGCAGCCATCCTGCCATGGTGACAATGGTGATAATCAAGGCACCCATAGCACCTGCCATTTAAGGAGCCTCTCCAGAGCCTCCCTCCTTTCACTGTCCTTGGTAGCTCAGAGGGACAACCCTGGAAATAGGACACTGAAGGCAGAGAGATGCAGCGATTTGCCCAAAGTCATGCAGCGAGTCCGTGTTGTCCTGGCGGGGCTCAGTCTCTGCCACTCCCCCAAACAGCTGCACATTCTATCCCCTCTACCCCATCGCAGTGGGAAGGAGCACTCCAAAGCCAGTGGAGGCTCTGAACATGCGGTCAGGGTTTTGACTAACCATTGAAAGTCTAGCAAGCACAGCATTTGAGGAGGCTTGGTCCAGCCTGGGCATGAGCTGGGGCCGGAGAAGCAGCAAGAACATGTGGGCGGGTGACTGATAGGGCTGCCAGCTCTGTGGTCACCAGGAGAGACAGGATCGGGGTCCAGCCCTGCCTTACTCTACAGGAAGAGGCTGCGATACCATCCTGCTAGATTTCTCAAGTTGCAGCTCTGTCCCTGGCTAGCTGATGGCAGCTGGCTTTCTTTCTCTCTTTCTTTTCTTTTTCTTTCTTTCTTTTTCTTCTTTTTTTTTTTTAGACCAACTGGAGTCAGGCCTAAAGCAAGGAGGCGGCTAGACAGGGACTCTAACCTCCGTTTCCTGCCTTGGCCAGCCAACCGTCAGATGGAACAGTGCAGGGAGACAGCACACTCCAGTTACACACCGCACAATGATAGCGCTGCTCTGACACACACACAACACAGCAGCCCACACCCACAAATCCGCATTCACACCACGCCCTTGAGTCCTCAGTGCCTGGGTTAAGGCCCTAAGCAGAAATGCCCCCGCAGAGGAGGAAGGGGTAGGGTGAGGAATGACAGGCTTTCCGAACCCTCATCCTCTCACCTCCAGATCCCTGTCCGGATCTCCTTGCGCACTGGCGTTCACACATAGACACATACTCTCACCCGAGAACTAAAAGACAAACGCTTGTCATAAAGGAACACAATGCTGCCCACACATCCCCGACGCTGCTCAGTGAAGCATTCCCTCAGTGCCAATGCGCAGATCCAAACAAAACACACACATACATTCCCTGCGAGCTGAGTGCTAGGCCACCTTGTAAGAGACCCAGCTGGACACACTTTCACATTGATCTTCAGCAGAGGAGTCCAGTTCTGGAACCTTGCTTTCCATGGTTCCCCCACAGTATCCCAGCCCAAAATGCTGCAAACATCCCCCTAGATTCAAAGTCCTCTCTTTCCAAGTCCCGGAAGAGTCAATGGGGCGGGGGAGGGGGCGGTGAGTTGGCATTGCCTCCCACCACATTCCCTGACTCCCAAGAAGACTGAAGCCATGGACTCTTCTTAGGCAAGGACAGAAGGGATGTCGGTGGAGGTGGTGGTGGGGTTGATAGGGGAGCAGCTTTCTCTATTTCCTGAGAAAGCCCCTGGGAACAGGCATCCCCTCCCAGGAACCAGTCCCATTCCACTCGTTTCGGATTCCGTAGACCCGGTGGGAGGGCATCCGGCCTGGTTCACGCTTCCCGCGGGGGTCAGGGGGACGACCGACAGCTGCGCCTATGACTTAGCAGTGACCTCGACCCCATGACCGGGTCAGATCGGATCGTCTTGCTTAGGAGCTAGGTGCGCGCAGGCAGCGGAGACGCGGCGGTGCTGCGGCAGGACAAACCTCTGCTGCTGTGGAGAGGGGCCGCCGGGACGCGGCCCTGCAGCAAGGAGAGCGCAGCCCGGGGTAATCCTTCTCAGGCCCGGGCTGCAGCGTTCGACTCCCCCGCTTCCTGTCCCGGCAGCCCAAAGACAACCTAGACCGGGGAGAAGCTGAAACGATGACGGGGCTAAGACTGGAACGGATGCCTGGGACCCAGCCAGGGACCCAGGCTCAAAAAGAGACAGTAGATCGACGCAGGGTCTACGTTGACGCGGAGCGGGAGGCAGAGGTTGGGGCTTAGGATGAGGTGGTTGACTATGGGATCGGATCTGAGACCGATGCGAAGCTAGTGCTTGGGGCCAACCAACCCCAAGCCCAGAGCGCAGCCGGCCGGGGTCAGGGCCGGGGCAAGTCTGGAGCACAGCTCAGGGTCTGTCCAGGAGAGACGCCGGCACGGCTGGAGTTGGAGCCGGGTTGGAACCCAGAGCTGGAGCTGGGGAGGCAGCCAGATGAGGGCTGCCATCCGGGGGGTCGGGGAAATCAGAGCTCGACCGCGGCGCTGGAGGTCGCAACTGGAGCCTGAGACTCAGCCAGGACCCGAGACGGAGCCAGACACACAACCGAACCCGAGCGGGTCGCAGGAACAGGAGGAGAATCTCGGGCCAGGACCGGTGCTGGCACCGGTGCGCAGCCTGGAGCTCCTGATTCGCGGCGCTGAGAGCCCGCGGAGCTGGGCCGGCGCGGCGCGCCAGGAGTGCACTCGCGACTCGGGGCTCTGGAGCCAGACACCACGCTCCGCAAAGACGGCTTCCACGCGCACAGGAACCTGCCCGCGGCGACACTGCTGGCCCGGCGGCCGCAGCCTACCTGAAGTAGTCCATCTTGCAGAAGATTTCCTTGTTCTTGATGTAGCAGCTGTTCTGCTGCCTCAGCGACGTGCGACACACCGAGCACTCGAGGCACCGCACGTGCCAGATGAGGTTGTTGACCTGGGGAGGGGAAGGGCGGGGGCGGCTCAGCGAGGGCCTCGTTTCAGGCCAGGCCCCGACCTCCCTAGCCCCCTTTGCGGACAGAGACGCTGGAGCTCTGACGGTGCAGGCGACCTCCCCCGCTTTTCTTCTGTAACACTGGGGCTCAGGGAGGTAGAAATAAACTCTGCCCATTTCGCAGACGGGACGCCGGGAGCGCAGGGACGCTACGTTTAGCCCAAAGCCTCGCCGACAGGATTCGTAATCAAGTGGACCTAGTGCCAGCGTATCTTCCGTGCAGCCTTCTGGGCTGCAACCCACCCTGGACCGCACGCAAGCAACACCCGGCCCCTGTTTCACCTTGAGCAGATACCGGTCCAGGATCTCGAGGCCGCAGCTGGAGCAGATGTTCTTGCCGGCGGACGGCACGGAAGAGGCGGCAGAGGGCGGAGAGCAGACAGAGGGCGTGCTGGGCGTACAAGGAGAGGCCCGACCCTCGTCCTTGTCCAGAGCGCCTGCCAGGGCCTCGGCGTCCGACTGAGCCTGCGGCGGGGGAGAGAGGGACGGCCGAGCGCTGAGAGGAGCGCTGAGCCCAGGGCCCAGCGGCGCAGCTGCCTCAGGGACAAATCTGGGGCCCCAGCGCACCAACTGACAACGAAATTCCCCCGAGACGCCGCGCCATGTGCTAGAGGACAGGAATGGAAGGGCCTATCGGAGAGGAAGGGACGGCTCCAACTGTTAATACACGCGTCCTGGGTGTTGGGAGCGGTCAAAGCCCATATTCTCGGCCGGAAAACCGAGGCTCAGGGAGGGGCGGCGCCCTCCGGGAGTCCCCCAGCGCATGGGCCGCGGTTCGGGGCCGGAAAGCCGGGCCAGGTCCCTAGGGCCAGACCGCGGACCTAAGGCAGGGCCGAACGAACTCACCATGGCGGGCGGAGCGGTCCCTTCAAGGCAGCGGGTGGTCGCTTTGCAGCCGGACCCTGGCTGGGCCATCACCTGGGGGAGGGGGGGGGAGGGAACGCAGGCGGTGGCGGCTGCAGAGCTGGCTCCGCTCAGCCTGAGCCCAGCGCCTCCCCGCGCCTGTTATATAAACGGGCGCGGAACAATGAGTCCTAACTTTGTAGTGGGCATTTAAAGCCCTTCCCCACAAAAGCGGTGTCTCTCTAATGAAGCAATTTGAATTTGGATTGGATTTTTTCCCTCTCTCTCCCCCTCTCCCTGCACTTAACCCGTGGCTCTTGAAGTAATCGCTTAGTTCCCTTGCAATACAAGCCTCTGAGGGGGAAAAAAAAACACGCGCACACACACAAACTACCTGCAATTAGAAATTGTCGTGAATGCCCAAGATAAGAGGTAGCCAGAGTGTCAATTCCAACTGTCAATCAGTGAGATCCATCAGGCCGCCCAAAGAATTGCAAATTTGATTTTTTAATGGTAGTAATTAAAAATCGAATTTTTTCTCCCTCCACCTACCCCCCTTCCTCGCTCCCTTCTCCTCCTCTCGACACAAAATGCAAAAAGGAGAAAAGGGAGAAAGAAAAGAAAAAGGAGATGGGGGCGGGTGTTGGAGGAAAATAAAAAAGCGGAGCGCGGGAGCATCAGCCCACCCGCCCCGCGCGCGCGGCTCAATTGACTCTGCGATATTGACACGGATTCAGGCGCCTTTCGAGGGCCACTCGGAGGGAGACCCGGAGCAAAACGGGGGCGAGATCGGGGTCGAACCGGGACCAAGAAGAGAATACGGAGGTGTCCAAGAGGCGGAAAAGACACCCTTCGGCCCCTCGGCGCGCCCGGGACGGCCCCGCGTCGGGATCCTCAGCGTTGCGCCCGCACAACCCCCGGCACATCGGCGCTATCAGCGCCTATTCAGACGGACAATACCCGCCTCGCCTCCTCTTGATTCTCCTGTGTCTTTGCTAAATCGCTTTTTGAGAAATTCCTCCAACATTTGCATAATGTGTTCCCGCTTTCCGCGACCCCCTCCCCCTCGCGCTCGCGCGCGCTCACACACTCACATACACACACTCACAGGCGCACCCCCGCAACCCCTCCAACGGCGGCCGCCCCGGCCGGGGCCGCCCGGCCGCTCGCTCGCTCGCTCGCTCACCTGGTCGGCGGCGGGGCCGCCCTCGGGCAACGCCGGGGCGGCGTTCTCATGCTTCCAGTACATGGGCCGGGGAGCGGCGGGCCCGGCGGGCGCGCAGCGCAGAGAGCCGCGCCGAGGGGGTCCACGGCCGGCGCAGTGAGAGCAGAGGCTGAAGCAGGAGCTGGAGGAGAGCGGAGGCGCCCGCTCCGCCGCTCCGGGCCGGGCCCCAGCCCCCGCCCCCGGCCCGCGCTCAGCCCCGGCCTCCTTGGCTGCCGCCGCCGCTGCCTCCGAAGAAGGTCCCGACAAACTTGGAGAGGCCCCCGCCCCCTCCTTCTCCTCCTCCTCCTCCCCCTCCTCGTAGTCCTCCTCCTCCTCCTCCTCCCCCTCCAGCTGCAGCGTCGGCCGCCCTGCCGCTGGAGCCCGGCTCGGTTCAAGATGAGTCATGCGTGACCAATCCTCTCCCCGCCAAGGGAGAGCGAGACGCACACACAGAGGCAGCGACCCAGAGACGCACACACACAGTCATATAGACACACAGAAACTCGGAGCTGCTGACAGAGACTGAAACACGCTGACACACAAAGGCACCGACAGGCGGGCACACATCCACACAGCTCTCACACCGCCCCTCCCTCAAAGGGCACCCACAGCTCTGAGGCACAGGTCCACTCCCAGGCGCAAGAGGGACCCACGGTCACACACCATCAGCCGAGGTGGATGCCATATAAAGTCACACACGGTGCTGTGCGGAGGCAATCCCACGCGCGGTCCGTCTGTGTGCATGCTCAGGCAGATGACTGCCCTTCACATCAGCTGCGGGAGCCCAGGCATCCCTGTACCCTCACACACCTGCACAGATACCTCTGCTCCATACCAGCCAGAGGGTGCATCGGCTCCCAGTCACTGAAGGGGATTGTGCGGGTGGAGGAAGAGGGTTCTTGGGGGGGGGTGCTCCCCTGAATCCTCCTGGGAGAGATTGTCTGGGACATCCTCCCTTCCCTTCAGGATGTGCTGAGCCATGCGGTCTAATGCCCCTCTCACCTTCCCTGTGGTACTGCTGATAGGGAGAAGGGGAAGGCAGGGAGGCCTCCGCATTTGCATAGGACACAGCCCCCAAACACAAAGACACAAAGCGCTCCAAGACAGAACCTTACACAACTAACACCCTACAACATACACGCACAAGTGAACCCTCACAGCCTCAGCCTCTTTCTCCACACATGCACTGATCCTAGAGGGACACAGGTAAATGTAGAGCCTCTTCTAAAAACAAATATGCGCACCCAGACTCAGACCCAGCCCAGCAGAACAGGAAGACACCTCGCCTCCCTGCCATCCCACAGACCACGGCCTCCCAAATTAGCCTCGTTGACAAACGTAAACACCACACACGTGTGTTCTTCCACTAGTGCGCACATCCACACTCAAGAGAGCACAAACTCCCACAGGGCTTCAAACACACGTAAAACCTCCTGTCCTTTCCTCAGACACCCACAGGTCTGCACACACGTCCCTACAGATGGCGAAATAACCTTTTATGGGCAGAAACAGTATCCACACCTCTGCAGACGCAGGATTCCCAGTGGCCACAGCCTCAGCCGTGCACACCCACAGGCACATCCTAATGGAGACAAGGGTATCTGCGCAGCAACACCCCCAAAAGATACAATTATTTGTTCCTTTATAGGCACCAAGGCCCAAAACGGCCCCAACCCCAGCCAGCGGTGCCTCCCACTGCCTGCATCCCTGCGTTCCAGTCGTTTATTGCCCTCAGACGCAGGAATTCAGATTGAAAAGGTTCTCTCTGAACCCTAATCTTTCATACTAAGATTACTAATTGCAATGTGAAAACTGGTGAAGAGTGTGCCTTTACACACGCCCCCTCAAACATTCCGATGACCACAGACAAATAGCCTATTCCCCCTCCAATATCTCTTTTCCACATAATAAACCCAGTTGCATACTTTAATCTGTGACAGGCTTGCAGTTTTACAATCAGGGCTTTGTTTTCTTTTTAAAATAATCTTACGAAGAAATGTCTCTTATTGTACCCATTTTACTGGTGAATAAACTGAGATTCAGAGAGATTGTGTGATGTGTCCGAATTGGTGCCACATGGCTAATGGCCAGAGCCAAGAACTCAAAACCAGAGTCATCTGACATCAGAGCTCATACTAGAATTCTAGGCTGTATGCATGGCCATGTCCACTCTCTGCATATACACACACACAGGTGTGCACACATTAAAAAAAAATTGTCAAAAGACCTGGATATGACTCCTGGCCTAACCACTTATGGGTTAAGCGTCTTTTCTCATCTGCAAAATGAGAATAATGATAGGGCGACCTTTATCTCCTTCTCCTCCCTTTCTGGGTGGCTTGGGGAAGCGGAGGTCATTGAACATTATACGATGCTGCACATCTGCCAGGTGCGTGAGTGCAGAAGGACTCCAGAAAAGGAGAAGTCCAGGAGGATGGTACTGGCTTTGCAAAAACTTCTCAAGAAACAGGTGTGGCGGAGGCTTGAGCTGAAACTAGAGGGCAGGTGAAATTTGGGTGGATTCGGGGGAGAAATGGAAGTATTCCAGGCAGAGAGATGACTACAAAGATCCAGAGCCTGGACAAACAAGCTGTGGCGCTTCTACGAGAAAGAGTGTGAAGTGCGCAATCTCTCAAGGATAATAGTAATAGCGGCTGTTAATTGAGCATGTATGTGCCAAGCACTGTTTTACCCACATTCCCTCTTTAACCCTCCCAGCTAGAATGTTTCATTATTATACTTATTTTAGAGTTGAGGAAACAAGTTTATAGGAGCCTCACGTCAAGCTCTAGCACTCAGACTCCAGAACCAAACTCCGACCTACTATTTAATTCTGCTCCTGAATTCTGAGTAGGTGCTCAGAAAAATCAAAACTGGAATAAGAGGCATTAAACTGAACAGTGCGCATGAAGACCGCCGTGGTGCCCATCTTGGTACTGCCCCTTACTACCGGGTGGCCCTGGACAAGTGATACAGCCACCCTTCGGTTTCAGTTTCCTCATCTGTAGAGTGGGGGTGATAACAGGTCGCTTCTTATGCTTGTAACAATTAAGCAAATGATGCATGTGCAAAAGGGTTCGGAATCATCCCTAGCATGCCGAAAGCAACCAATAAATATTAGCCATCGTTACAGTATGGACTAGCTGCATTGTCCAGTTGTTATTCTGCTGGATGTCACTTCAAATATTTTATGGAAGAAGGCAGAGCATAAATCAACCAAAAATCAAATTATTTTCCTGAATAACTTTCCCTAAGGAAGCTGCAGAACTATTATTGCAACCCAGAGCTTGCCTGACTTCAAAGAGGAGAAAAATGAAATAACTTTGGAAAACTCTCTTCCAACAACTCCTGACTCTAGCGGGAAAGAGAGTCTGGAGACGACCGACCTTGGTAAAATCAGGATTAGCAAATATAATACATCCCATCAGGACACTAGATTTCTTCCTGCAGGAGACTGGGCAAATCACTTCACTTATCTGAGTTTCTTTCCTTACTTGCAAAATGGGGATAATACTTACCTCTCAGGATTATGGTGACAGTTAACTGTATATTAAAAACTAGTGTTTTCAAAGTGTTGCCTCTAGTCCTGGCACTGTATAAGCATCTTTCATGTAAACTGTCATGAGTAGTCTACATATGCAATGTCATCGGCCTCTTACATGAACAATGTCATCGTTCTCACCTCAGCCCTTCTCCTGATCCCTAAACAGGATGTGGCCATCTCATCCTCGAAGGTGGATTTTGCCACCCCCCCGCCCCGCCCCCGCCACCTGAGTCTAGGTCCTTGGTCTGCGTTTGAAAAGAGGCTTCATTAGTAACTGGATAATTCTGTGGGATCACCCCCAGCAGCGGTTCCGCCCTGCCGGGGAGTAATTCTAGGAAGGTAATGTGAGCTGGGGGAGGCTGGAGACCCAGCTTCACATTTATTCACTCTGACAGCTAAATTGGTGAGCAAGGGGGAAAATCAGATGAAAGCCATTTCAGAGTAAATACTAAATACAAAATTTAAACATTCAGGTTGTGACAAATGGGAAGGGGGCAGTTAGAAGAGAAGAGGCACCGGCAGCACACTCCTCCCCACTCGGGACCCTATCCTCACCTTGTCACCTTCCTGGGCATTTCCTGTTTCACTGGAGGAAAGAGCAGGGAATGGGCTTATGACTGCATGACCCTAGGCAAGAAATGGACCCCTCCTGGCCTCCGTGTCCTCATCGCTAACATGCGCGTGTGTTGTTTGCATCAGATGATCCAGGAAGTGATGGAGAGAGCTGAGCCTTGGAGTCTGGGAGACCTGAGGTCAAATCCTAGCCCAGCCGCTTCCTGGCTGGGTGAGCTTGGAAAAGTCATTTATCCCCAATTTAAATTTAAAGTTTCCTAAACTTTGGGGTTAATATCAACCGCAGATGAGTAAATGAGATAATCTGTGTAGAGGGGCTTTTTGCAAATGCGATCAGCTGTAGGGCCCCCAGGGTCCCTTCCCATTTGGACGGTCGCTGTGTAAATCCACATCAGCAGGCGTTTACTGAAGCCAGGGTCCAGGCTAGGCAGAGGGAACGCAGAGTAACTCCTCCTGGTCCCTGCCCACTAGGAGCTCGGTGTCCCGGGAGGAAGAGCCTGCAATGCTGCGCAGCGTGACAGGTGCTGCCCAGTGGGGCCACAGGAGCTGGAGAGAGGAGGAGGGACATTTAGCATGGCTTACAAGTAGGTATCAGGAAAGGCGCCCTAGGGGAGGTGGCTTTTCAGTGAAGTCCTAATGGTTGGGTAAGTGTGAGGCAGACCAGACCTGAAGGGCGTTGGATCAGAATGGAGAGTGGGTGCTCAGGTAGTGGTTTTGGGGGGCAATGTCAGGGGGTGAGGCAGGAGAGGTAGGTAGGAGCCAGACCATGGAGCTGAGCTAAGCGCTGAGCTGAGGAGCCTGGAGTTATCTTGAAAGTGCTGGGTCCATGAGATGAAGTTCACAGGAAGCGCCATCCCGTCTCTGCAGATGCAGCTGGCACGGTGGTGGTTAGGGACCGTGGGTTTGGAGGCAGGTAGCCTGAATGGAT